AGCATATCAAATTATTAAGATCTCTCCTAAATGTGTTGTGTCAATTTAAAAGTATACAAATATATCTTAGTGGTAGAACACTCAACATAAATGATGTTCAGTTTCAAATTTTAGGAGGAAATATAATTGTGCGGGAATGGTGGGAAAGTTTAAATGGGTAAGACTGATGGACACATGTTAATCAAACTGATTTCTTTATTTTTATATCTTTGTTGTTGGTGGGGGTTGAACGCACAATGTGGGCACTGTCTGTGAGTTCCTGTGCTCAAGGCTAATGCTCTACCACTTTGAGAGACAATGCCATGTGGTTTCTGAGTGGGTAATTGGAGGTAAGAGTCTACTGAGGACTTTTCTGCCCAGGCTGTTTGAACCTTGATCCTCAGATCTCAGCCTTCTGAGTAGCTAGGATTACAAGCGTGAGCCTGGATTTAAAACCAGTCCTGTGAGACTGTCCTAAGACAGAATGCTCAGCTTCCATGGGGAGAATCCAGGAGAATCATGGAAAGCACCCGCCCTGCTTTCCACTCTCTTCTGAATCACCATCCAGGTGTCTGCCTCTGCAGAAAGAAACTTACTATCTCAAAAACACACAACGGTGAACCGTGCTGCAGGCCTGATTCTGCAGCAGATCATCGGATTAGCAAGTGTAAAGCATGGAGTTCAAATCACTGCACCACAAATAGCAAACTAGGAGGTTAGCACCATCCTCCGTTCTTCTAATTCCCTGCATCAGTGAGAAGGCTCAGGGTCCCAAATGACAGATGGTGCTCAGAAGATAGGAAGACAGAAAGAGCCCAGGAATCATGAAAGGGTAAACAGCACCATTCAAACCACGGAGAAACAGAACCAAGAAGAAAAAGGTCTACAGTTTGAAGCCCACCTCCCAGTGTAAAGAGAGGCCGAGGTCGGCAGTGCTGTGAGCCAGGCAGCTGTGGTGGCTGCAGAGGGCAGGATGAAGGCTCCTCGGCCTCTGTGGATGGTCCCATGACAGGAGACGGCTGCACTCGGTTCACTTCCTCATTGAAGCCTGGAGTCTTGGGACATCACAGTGTCTCTTTGTTTCACTTACATTTACTGGTCTCGTAGGTAAACACATTTCAGTCCCGAGCTGAGGATACTCTTGTTCGAGGGATTTTTAGTGCAATTGAGTCTGCATTGTCAACCATGTTGGAACAGCCCCTGAGAGACAGACAGGCCTCCGTTAGACCCCTGGAAACCCCTGGGTGGGAGGGCTTTCCTCTCTGCCCTTGCCTCTGCCCCCTGCTGGGGACTGAGAGCTCAGGTGGTCCTCCATCCCCCTCCATCCTGAGGGTGTAGACAGAGTGGAAATGACCCTCAGCAGCTGCTGTGTGCTGTGAAGCAGGAGTGTCCACAGAGTGGACAGCACGGGGGCTGAGGGGAAGAGGAAGGGAGGCCGCTCACCTGAGACAGGTGTGGGCATCAGGGAAGAAGGACGCAGGAAGTGGCCGTGCTCCACAGGAAGCTGATGGCTGATCCCATCTCATCCACACACAGGAATCCCTTCCCTCCCACAGTTCCCAGTGAGCACGTGAGGAAGAGGAAACAAAGGAAGGCAGGCATATCCAGAGGGACTGTGGGGTGCTGGGGAGGTGTCCAGAGGGACCCTGGGAATGGGAGGAGGCGTCACAGAACCTGACAACCAGCTCCCACCCAGCTTCTAGGGTGAGATCCAGGGCTGCTGGCCCTGAGCACCTCCGCAGCTCAGGCTCTGGGTCAGGTGGACAGTCTGTGTCAGGGCTCACGCTGATGTCTCCTGGTGTCTCTTGCACAGTAATCCGTGGCTGGGTCCCCGGTGGTCACTGTGCTCAGCTCATGGACATCTGTTTCTTGGCTGTGTCCTCAGACACTGTGACTTGAATCCTGAGAGACAGCTGTAGTTGAAGATGTCTCCTGTCCTTCCCAGCAGTTTCCCTGGGGCTGTGGGACCCGGCTCTATCACTCATGCCAGCCAGTGCCACCTACATGGTGCAGGCAGGAACAGAGACCACGGGGGCTTGGCCAGGCCAGGCTGTGGGTCGCCTGCAGCTGCTGGGACAGGACATCTGAGGACAGAGCACCTCAGTGCTGGGGATGGGGAGACACGGTGTGTTCTGAGTTTGGATGCAGCGTCCTCACAACATCCTGACTGCATCCCGATGTCCTACACCCAGGAACAGCCAGCAAGGAAACAAAGGCCCGCCCGGCATTCCAGGCGTCAGGAAGACGTCTGTGACTCTCAGGAAGTATTTCCAGGGTCTGGCAGAGGCTGAATGTAAACAAGTCAGTATGAGCCCAGTGTCGCTGTCTCATGCTTGCAAACCCAGGTACTCAGGAGCCTGAGATCGGAGGATTGTGGTTCAAAGCTAGCCCAGGCAGGAGAGTCCCTGAGAGTCTTATCTCCAACAAACCACCAGAAAACCAGAAGTGGCCTTGTGGCTCAAGCGGTAGAGTGGTCTCCTTGAGCTGAAGAGCTGAGGGACAGCGCCCAAACCCAGTGTTCAAACACTATGACCAAAAAAAAACCCCAAAACAAAACAAAACAAAAAAAAGGGTGAGCAGCTAGTGTCTGCTCTTCCTCTAGGAAGACGAAGGTCAGCATGGGGAAGCCCGATGGACTCTGCTCAGGATCTCTGCAGATGGAGATAAACCAGTGGAATTGGAGAGCAATGTCCTCACCCAGTCTGGGAGCCCTTAACACCCTAGACAGCTCTGTGGGGGACGCAGCTTCCTGTGGAGAGGCCAGGCACACAGAGGAGTCAGGGCCTGAGCTCCACAGCTGCTCCTGTGACTGCCATGACCTCAGTGTGTGCCCTGCGCCCCCTGCTGGTGCTGACTGAGCATGACCACAGTGTGTGCCCAGCGCCCCCTGCTGGTGCTGAGCGCCCTGCAGGGAGGTTTGTGTCTGGCCCACACTGGATTTCCTGCACTGTGTCTGTAGCACAGTAATAGAGGGCCGTGTCCTCCACTCTCAGGCTGTTCATCTGCAGGTAAAGTGTGTTCTTGCTGTTGTCTCTGGAGGTGGTGAAGCGACCCTTCACGGATTCTGCATACTTTAAGTAACTACTATCACTATTGATGTATGAGAGCCACTCAGGCCTCTTCCCTGGAGCCTGGCGGAGCCAGCTCATGTAGTAACTACTGAAGGTGAATCCGGAGGCTGCACAGGAGAGTCTCAGGGACCCCCCAGGCTGCACCAAGTCTCCCCCAGACTCCACCAGCTGCACCTCACACTGCACACCTGCAAACACAGAGAATCCTGGTCAGCAATGGTCACACACATCCACTGTTCCTCCCACTCATGTGCATTTGCGCACTCAGTATCCCTTGCTCCCCATGAATCACCTTTCAACAGAGCAACAAGGAGAACCCAGCGCAGCCCCAGCTCCATGGTGGTGGTCTGTGCTCAGTCACTGGTGGAATCAGCTCACAGAGCTCAGATCAGGGATGGGCTGGTTTTCATGGGCAGAGGGACATCCTATTTGCATGTCCTCTGCTATAAAGCAGCTCTGGGGGGAAGTCTAGAGATTGGGCTCCCAGAGCAGAGGTGACTGTGCTGGAGGAGTTTGGTGACAATGGTCACCTTGGAGACATCATGACGCACTGACCATGTGCTGTGGTTCACACTGTACCTTCAGCTGCTTGGGAGCCTGAGGCAGAGTGTGAGAACACTGAGAGCTGTCTGGGGTGCAGATGGACACACATGTCCTCTCACTCTGCCATTGTGCCTGGTGATTGTTCTGTCAGCATTTCTAATCACACACAAAACACAAAGTGCAACATGCCTGTGACCTCCTAGTGCACACGCAAGAATGTAAAACAATGGTGAGTTTGTTTGCACACTGGCAGCGTCTCCCATGGCATGAGCTCCATGCCTGGTCTGGGCCTGCACAGCCAAGGAGGGCCCACAGTTCCTGGTGTGTTCCAGGAGAATGGTGCTTATCTATGAGCTCTGCAGAGCCTCCTTCCTGAGCTGAGATCAGGTGTGGCTTTGCCACACTTTACTTCATTCTCACTACAAACCAGGATGGCTGGATTCAGGCAGATGCTTGATAGTGGGCTCTGGTGTATCAGTTTCACAGTCTGGCTTTCTTGTTTGTTTTTTTGGTTCATATGAACTCTGCATTTCTGACAGTATTCCATGGATTGTATATTGTGTTAACCTCAATGAGTCACTACATGTAACATACAGTGCTCGTAGGTAAACACTGATTTGGTAACTATCGATAAAGTATTTGTGTGTTCTTCAAATTGTTTTGAAAACCATGGGATTCCTTATTTGCTTGCAATTTTTTTTAATTGTTGACATACCGTACAGAGTGGTTACAATTACATGGTCAAGACCATGAGTACATTTCTTATCAAGCATTGTTGACACCTCCTTTGTTTCCACTTCCCATCCCTTCCATTCTCCTCCTCCCACATTCTCCCCACTTTTTTCTCCCCCACCCCACTTGCCCAGGCAAAAGTTGAAAAGTTTGTTTTTCGACATAACAACTTGTACATCTCATTGTTGCAACGTGTCCACCTGTATCCCTATTTAAACGATTTTTTTCCCTTCCCCTCCACAAATAATACCAACATCAATTATAGTGAAAGCAGGGGTTATACTGTGGGGGAGGGAAATACAAAGCAACAAAATATCATCTTATAAATGTGTTAGAAACAATCACAAGAAAGAACAATCATTTGAATCTTTATCTTGGGGTTCACTTCGCCTAACATCAACTTGTCTGGTAGTTTCTGTTTGTCTTAGACATATACTAGTTATTAGAAATAAGACATAACGTGATACTGGTGTTTCTATGGTTGGTTTATTTCCTTTAATCTAACTCTCTTTAGATCTATCACAAATGACAGTCTCTCTTCCAGTCTGTGGGTTAGTTCTATTCCATTGTCCACACCTTTCCCATTTCCTTTATCTGTTCTTCTCTTGTTGGACCTTTAATCTTAGCCCTCCTCTGCCACGTTCTCCCTAGGATGTCCTGTGCTCCATGCTCCACTGCCCTGTCCCTAAGTTCTATCTGAGAAACATCAGAATGGCCTTTGCCATGCATCTTGCCAACTTCCCGTTCAGAACACGTAGCTATGAGCAGCTCAGCTCACAACAATGTTTGAGCAGTGATGATCATGATATATAAAATTGTCCCACAGAATTATGGTGCAGATAAAACATTCCTATTATTAGTGACCTTGTGATTGTTGTAATATCATAGCATCACCCACCTTGGCATGTTCATGTAGATGATGGTAGCTAGCCTAAGCTGCTGCTAGTTGCCTAAAATCTAGTAATACATTGATGTACAGTTTACATTTGATATGATAGTAAATGTGTTTCCTAATAGTCTTGAATTCTGTATGTCTGTATATATGTTTCACTATGTCTCAATGTTTCTGGGAGATTTGTTAGCAGCATTTTCCGTTAGGCTTGGGTGGATTTGTGTTTTTCATCTCTAGCCTTCCTCAGATCTGATCTTGGAGATCATGGCAAAGTCAGTTTCCCCAATGCGTTATTCTCCGTGCTATGTTGAAGTGAAGTCTCCCTATGTTTAAGTAAACCTCACAGTGGAAAGCAGAACATCTGATCCAGACAGTCAAGGATGACTACAGACACGGACATGGAGAAGTGCCTGGGAGACAGTGCTCATGACGGAGCCACAGGGACCCGGCCTCCATCCCAGACGGGACATCCACAAGACTCCAGAGCCATCGTGATAGAGGAAACCCCAGGACAGACGGGGCCCAGCAAGGTCAGTCTACATGCACATGGCCTGTTTTCTGTCCAGTCCAACCCAGACTCCTCATGTCCACTTCCACATCCCTTGGAGGTCAGCAAGAGGCCCTGGTCAGGGGAGACTGAGGAGTCCACCAACTTTCCCAGGGCGCAATAGGCTGAGCTCCATGGTATCGCCAACCCCTATGTTTTATAGACTGTGTCCCCAAGTACATTTGATGGCTGGACAAAGAGGAAAAGAGGGTGTGAATCACTGAGTCAGAAAGTGAATGAATGGAGCAATTCTGTTAGCTCAGTTCTGAACCCCTGAGCAGTGCACAGGTGGAGTGGGGAGGGCAGCATTTGAGGCCTGTTAAGAGTGAGCTGTGTGGGTGCCCTCTTTCTCTCTCTCTCTCTCCCTCCCTCTCTCTCTCTCTCTCTCTCTTTCTCTCCTTCTCTCTCTCTCTCCCCAGAACTCAGGGCTAGTATTTTAGGTACACACATCCATTTCAGCCATTTCTGCATCTTTTCTGATGTGATTTATTTCTGGTACTGTGCTATGGTTTTGCCTGGGGCAGGTTGCAGACAGTGATTCCACACTTGCCTCCTGTGTAGCTGGAATCACAGGAAACAGCTGCCACAACCAGCTTATCGATTGAAATGTGTTGTCATTAAGGTTTTGCCCATTTGGCCTTCATAAATACTCATTTTAATCTCCTCCTCCCAAGTCTCTAGGATTACAGACAGCAGTCACCATGCTAGGCTTTTTCCCTCTTGTTCACAGAACAAATTCCAACTCTGTGAATCCTGGGATCTTTGTCCTGAGTCTCATGGGGTCATCAGGGTCCCTGAGCTTCTTCAGGATCAAATACTGGTCACCACTGCAGAGCCATTTTTGCTTCCACCATGATACTCTGTTCATTCTTAAAGTCCCAGCAAAGGACTGGAGACATCACAGAGGAGTGCGGGTCATGAACTCAGGAGAGATGCTGTCACACTGTGGACACAGAGGCAGGGCAGACAGCAGGAGAGCAGCCCTGGGCTCTGTGTGCAGCTGCTCCTGAGCTGGCCCGGCTCCAAACTGTGCCGAGCGCCCCCTGCTGGTGCTGAGCACCCTGCAGGGAGGTTTGTGTCTGGCCCACACTGGATTTCCTGCACTGTGTCTCTAGCACAGTAATAGATGGCCGTGTCCTCCACTCTCAGGCTGTTCATCTGCAGGTAAAGTGTGTTCTTACTGTTGTCTCTGGAGGTGGTGAAGCGACCCTTCACGGATTCTGCATACTTTAAATAACTACTATCACTATTGATGTATGAGAGCCACTCAGGCCTCTTCCCTGGAGCCTGGCGGAGCCAGCTCATGTAGTAACTACTGAAGGTGAATCCGGAGGCTGCACAGGAGAGTCTCAGGGACCCCCCAGGCTGCACCAAGCCTCCCTCAGACTCCACCAGCTGCACCTCACACTGCACACCTGCAAACACAGAGAATCCTGGTCAGCAATGGTCACACACATCCACTGTTCCTCCCACTCATGTCCATTTGCACACTCAGTGTCCCTTGCTCCCCATGAATCACCTTTCAACAGAGCAACAAGGAGAACCCAGCGCAGCCCCAGCTCCATGGTGGTGGTCTGTGCTCAGTCACTGGTGGAATCAGCTCACAGAGCTCAGGTCAGGATGGGTTGGTTTTCATGGGCAGAGGGACATCCTAGTTGCATGTCCTCTGCTATAAAGCAGCTCTGGGGGGAAGGTCTAGAGATTGGGCTCCCAGAGCAGAGGTGACTGTGTTGGAGGAGTTTGGTGACAATGGTCACCTTGGAGACATCATGATGCACTGACTATGTGCTGTGGTCACACTGTACCTCCAGCTCCTTGGGAGCCTGAGGCAGAGTGTGAGGACACTGAGAGCTGTCTGGGGTGCAGAGGGACACACATTTCCTCTCACTCTGCCATTGTGCCTGGTGATCGTTCTGTCAGCATTGCTGGTCACACACAAAAACACAAAGTGCAACATGCGTGTGACCTCCTTGTGCACATGCAAGAGTGTAAAACAATGGTGAATTGTTTCCACACTGGCAGCGTCTCCCGTGGTATGAGCTCCATGCCTGGTCTGGGCCTGCACAGCCAAGGAGGGCCCACAGTTCTTGGTGTGTTCCAGGAGAATGGTGCTCATCTGTGAGCTCTGCAGAGCCTCCTTCCTCAGCCGAGATCAGGTGTGGCTTTGACACAGTTTATTTCATTCTGACCACAAACCAAGATGGCAAGGGTTCAGGCAGATGCTTGACAGTTGGCTCTGCTGTATTAGTTTCACAGTCTGGCTTTCTTGTTTGTTTTTCTGGTTCATATGCACTCTGCATTTCTGACAGTATCCCATGTATTGTATATTGTGATAACCTCAATGAGTCACTACATGTAACATACAGTGCTCATAGGTAAACACTGATTTGGTAACTATCGATAAAGTATTTGTGTGTTCTTCAAATTGTTTTAAAAACCATGGGATCCCTTATTTGCTTGCAATTTTTTTATTGTTGAAATACTGTACAGAGTGTTTACAATTACATGATCAGGATCATGAGTACATTTCTTATCAAGCATTGTTGACACCTCCTTTGTTTCCACTTCCCATCCCTTCCATTCTCTCCCTCCCACATCCCCCTCCCCCTTGCTCCTCTCCCCCCCACCCCCTACTCCCCCACACCCAGGCAAAAGTTGATAAGTTTGTTTTTCGACATAACGACTTGTACATCTCATTGTTGCAACGTGTCCACCTGGATCCCTATTTAAACAATTTTTTTCCCTTCCCCTCCACAAATTATACCAACATCAATTACAGTGGAAGCAGGGGTTATACTGTGGGGGAGGGACATACAAAGCAACCAAAAAATCATCTTATAAACATATTAGAAACAATCGCAAGAAAGATAAATCTTTTGAATCTTTATCTTGGGGTTCACTTTGCCTAACATCAACTTGTCTGACAGTTTCTGTTTGTCTCAGATACACACTAGTTATTGCAAACAAGACATAATGTGATACTGGTGTTTCTATGGTTGGTTTATTTCCTTTAATCTAACTCTCTTTAGATCTATCACAAATGACAGTCTCTCTTCCAGTCTGTGGGTTAGTTCTATTCCATTGTCCACACCTTTCCCATTTCCTTTATCTGTTCTTCTCTTGTTGGACCTTTACATTAATCTCAGCCCTCCTCTGCCACGTTCTCCCTAGGATGTCCTGTGCTCCATGCTCCACTGCCCTGTCCATAATTTCTATCTGAGAAACATCAGAATGGCCTTTGCCATGCATCTTGCCAACTTCCCGTTCAGAACACGTAGCTATGAGCAGCTCAGCTCACAACAATGTTTTGGGCAGTGATGATCAGGATATATAAAATTTTCCCACAGAATTATGGTGCAGATAAAACATTCCTATTATTTAGTGGCATTGTTGTAATATCATAGCATCACAAACCTTGGCATGTTCATGTAGATGATGGCAGCTAGCCTAGCTGCTGCTAGATGCCTAAAATCTAGTAATACATTGATATATACAGTTTACATTTGATATGATAGTAAATGTGTTTCCTAATATTCTTGAATTCTGTATGTCTGTATATATGTTTCATTATGTCTCAATGTTTCTGGGAGATTTGTAGGCAGCATTTTCCGTTAGGCTTGGGTGGATTTGTGTTTTTCATCTCTAGCCTTCCTCAGATCTGATCTTGGAGATCATGGCAAAGTCAGTTTCCCCAATGTGTTATTCTCCGTGCTTTGTTGAAGTGAAGTCTCCCTATGTTTAAGTAAACCTCACAGTGGAAAGCAGAACATCTGATCCAGACAGTCAAGGATGACTACAGACACAGACATGGAGAAGTGCCTGGGAGACTGTCAGGGGATGAGCAGAAGTAGGGCAGACACAGAGGAGAGCTGGGGCAGGAAGAGCAGAGGCAGGGCCAGTGCATTTGTTTACCAATTAATTAATTTAGTTATTATTATAAAGGACATATGTTAACAGGTACTGGTTATTATTCAATACAGATATACATTGTTAAATGACATAGTCTAAGAAGACACATGCTCTAAAGTATTGATGATTTTGTTTTGGTGAAATCTTTCCTTTCTTCATCTTTTTACAATGATTAGTGCTGTGCTACGAGATACCAGCTCCTCCTGAGGAGTTTTCACATCCAAATGAGGACCCAAGACACCACAGTCTCCACATGGACAGAGTAATGGATGTCTCCTGGTGAGATGAATGATTTGTCTCATCATCCACAAAAACGGTCCTGGGGAAAACCTCAGAACTTGCAAGTCTTCTTCCTAAAGCCTGCAGACAAGTTCACACACACGTTCTTGTTCAGGAAGTGAAGCTTGCTCTTCTCTGATCAGGATGTAATGGAGAAATAACAAGGACCTGTTTGAGCAGGTGGGGGCGTCCGGGATGCAGGGAGCTCAGTCAGATTGCTGTGAGATCACCTGGCCCAGCCCCTCGTGCCCAAGATGCACGTGCACAGTGACAGTGCTCATGACGGAGCCACAGGGACCCGGCCTCCATCCCAGACGGGACATCCACAAGACTCCAGAGCCATCGTGATGGAGGAAACCCCAGGACAGACGGGGCCCAGCAAGGTCAGTCTACATGCACATGGCCTGTTGTCTGTCCAGTCTAACCCAGACTCCTCATATCCACTTCCACGTCCCCTGGAGGACAGCAAGAGGCCCTTGTCAGGGGAGACTGAGGAGTCCACCACGTTCCCAGGGTGCCATGGGCAGAGATCCAGGGGTATGGCCGACCCCTGTGTTTTATGACTTGGATCCCCAAGTACGTTTGGTGGTTGGACAAAGAGAAAAGGAGTCTGTGAATCACTGAGTCAGAAAGTGAATGAATGGAGCAATTCTGTTAGGTCAGTTCTGAACCCCTGAGCAGTGCTACAGGTGGAGGGAGGAGGGCAGCATTTGAGGCCTGTTAAGAGTCATGGGTCAATGGACTGTGGGTACTTTGTTTGTCTGTCTGTCTTTCTCTGTCTGTCTCTGTCTCTCTCTCTCTGTACTGTTTTGAACTCAGGGCTACTATTTTAGGAACATACCTGCATTTCAACCCTTTCTACAGCTATTTAATGTTATTTATTTTCTGGTACTGTGCTGTGTTTTTGCCTGGGGCAGGTTGCAGACAGTGATTCCACACTTGCCTCCTGTGTAGCAGGAATCACAGGAAACAGCTGCCACATAAAGCTTATCGATTGAGATGTATTGTTATTAAAGTTTAGCCCATTTGGCCTCCACAAACTCATTTTTCTCTCCTCCTCCCAAGTCTCTAGGATTACAGACACCAGTCACCATGCCAGGCGTTTTCCCTCTTGTTCACAGGACAAATTCTGACTCTGTGAATCCTGGGATCTTTGTCCTGAGTCTCATGGGGTCACCAGGGTCCCTGAGTTTCTTCAGGATCAAATACTGGTCACCACTGCAGAGCCATTTTTGCTTCCAGCATGATACTCTGTTCATTCTTAAAGTCCCAGCAAAGGACTAGAGACATCACAGAGGAGTGCGGGTCATGAACTCAGGAGAGATGCTGTCACACTGTGGGCACAGAGGCAGGGCAGACAGCAGGAGAGCAGCCCTGGGCTCTGTGTGCAGCTGCTCCTGAGCTGACCCGGCTCCAAGCTGTGCCCAGCGCCCCCTGCTGGTGCTGAGCGCCCTGCAGGGAGGTTTGTGTCTGGCCCACACTGGATTTCCTGCACTGTGTCTCTAGTACAGTAATAGATGGCCGTGTCCTCCACTCTCAGGCTGTTCATCTGCAGGTGAAGTGTGTTCTTGCTGTTGTCTCTGGAGATGGTGAACCGGCCCTTCATGGAGTCTGGGTACCATGTGCTACCACCATCTGGATTAATTCGTGCAACCCACTCCAGCCCTTTCCCTGGAGCCTGGCGGACCCAGGCCATGTAGTAACTACTGAAGGTGAATCCGGAGGCTGCACAGGAGAGTCTCAGGGACCCCCCAGGCTGCACCAAGCCTCCCTCAGACTCCACCAGCTGCACTTCACACTGCACACCTGCAAAGACAGAGAATCCTGGTCAGCAATGGTCACACACATCCACGGTTCCTCCCACTCATGTGCATTTGCACACTCAGTATCCCTTGCTCCCCATGAATCACCTTTCAACAGAGCAACAAGGAGAACCCAGCGCAGCCCCAGCTCCATGGTGCTGGTCTGTGCTCAGTCACTGGTGGAATCAGCTCACAGAGCTCAGGTCAGGGATGGGCTGGTTTTCATGGGCAGAGGTTCGTCCTATTTGCATGTCCTCTGCTATAAAGCAACTCTGGGGCAGAAGTCTCAGGAGGGCAGCGCACAGAGGAGATGCAGTGGAAGACAGAGTTTGTTAGATGGGTGAATAAACTGAAATGTCTGTAACCAATTGGCTTCAAGAAACCCACTGATGGAATATGAACTTCTTTATAGAAGTTTAACTCTGCTTCCCTTAGTCAAGATTGCTGAGCCATTTGCTTTTTAAAAACATTTTCCCTCTTCCTTTTGTATTGTTTATTGTTTGTATTTGGGAGGGTAAGGGGGTCACATAAAATCTGGAACAGGAATGAACAAATATCACAGAGATACTCACCAGACACTGTGGAAAATGAACTGGAAATCTAATGGGTGGGGCCAGGAGGGAAGGATTGGGAGAGAGCAACAGAAGGGAAGAATGGTTCATAAAGAACTGCACTGATTGTACCTGATTCACGTAACTGTAACCGCTCTGTACATCAACAACACAACATTTTTTAATTAAATAGAAAATAAAGGTGCCGTTCAGTGAGGCAGTTTATGAATACACTGAGGCTTGATCAACGTTGCCCCTTTCAACATTCCTGCCCACCCCTCCACCTCCTCTTCCCTCTCTCTGCTTAATGTTCAGGACATGTATGCTGACATCATTGAACACAGCAGTTCATGGATTCAAGGCATGTGGATCTGAGTCATTCCTTCCTCACCTTTCCTCTTTGACCCACCCTTAGCTCAGTGTTCTCAATTCTGTGGCATACGCATTGTATTCTTGCCTGCGTTCTCCACGTTGTCTCCTTCATTCTTCTACCATTTGCCCCTCATCTCTCCACTCCCAGTACCCTCTTTCTGGTGCTTACTTTGTTGGTTTTTGACTTAGTCTTTGTGAAGAGCTATACTCCTTGATCTCTCCATAGAGCCTAGCTGCGAGCTGGTGGCTCACGCCTGTAATCCTAGCTACTCAGGAGGCTGAGATCTGAGGATTGCGGTTCAAAGCCAGCCCGGGCAAGAGAGACTGTGAGACTCCTATCTCCAAAAAACCACCAGAAAACCAGAAGTGGCGCTGTAGCTCAAGTGGTAGAGCGCTCGCCTTGAGCTGAAGAGCTGAAGGATAGCACCCAAGCCCAGAGTTCAAGCCCCACGACCAACCAAAAAAAAAAATCCATAGAGTCTGTTGTATGTGTCTCCCAGTGAGACATATAATAACAGCAGGAGAGGACCATTAGCATCGTTGTTCTGGGAAGCAGGGATGACCTGAGCTCTCTCCTCTAATTGTACATGGAGCACTGCTCTCATCCACGCACATTGTGAGAAACCTGTCAGTCAGGAAGGTCACCACGCTAGACCCAGGTCCCCAGCGCCACATTGTCCCCCTTTCCCACTTGTCTCTGAGGAGCCTTTTCTCCAGGCCTTTACACAAACACAGCCTTGATACTGAGGCGTGGCAGCCTGGCTTTTGAGTGACCCAGGACTGGAAATACCCCCGGCAGATCAATGCCACACATTAAAACCAAGCCTGTTGAAGGTTGCAGTGGAGATGTTGTGTGGATGGAATGACATTCCTCACTAATTCCTCTCTGGCAACCTGGGTGGATCTGACTGGGAACAACCTAGAGAGGATGACATTCCACCACAGAGGCAGCGTCTACAGCAGGCTCTGGGGAGGTTCTAGATCTCTTCCTGATGGCCAGTCGCAGGAGCTCCCACCCACCCTGCACCTCCACAGCCCACGTGCTCCAGGAGGACCTGGCCCCAGCCGGTCCTCAGTCCCATGTGCACAGGCTCAGGACAGTGAGGTGATGCAGGTGAAATCCCAAGTGACGACTATTTTCACACTCATCCATGTGCCCTTAGCTACAGATTTCCCCTGAGCTTCCCGCCAGAGTCCATAGAGAGAAGAACAGGACAGTCCAGGGCACGCAGCCTGGGGACACCAGTGAGTTCTTCCCAGGCATGCAGGAGCCAGGGCCACAGCCTCATTGACCACCAGGTCCCAGTACCGGGCCTGGGGTCTAGAGACTGAATACAGGCCACGTCTGCAGGGGATTTAGTGTGAAGGACAGGTGTGGACAACACAGACAATTAAGAACACATATATCCTTATAGGATAAAGCAGTGACCAGATCCAGAACTGTGGCTGAGAATCCCATCCAACCTTGTCATCTACAGCATGTGTAGAAAGGGATGGAGGCAGAGGAGCTGGTGGGGGTCACTGGGCCTCTGCAGGTAGCCACAGCTCAGCGGTGCCCACGACTGGGCTCTGTGGGTCACAGAGCAGCCCCCGGTCCTGACCGATGGCCCCTCACATGTCACCAGCAAGAGGAAAGGGGACAACGGGATCAAAGCCGGGCTGGACGCTGGGCTGTGTGAGCAGAATGGTGGGCCTTGAAATCCATCAGTGACACGGAGGCCCTGGCTCTGCACAACATCCCGTGCACTCCGACCTGAGGATAAAGACTGACCTAGCCAGGGAGTCCACTGCGTCTCTCCCGAGTCTGAGAGGAAAGGACTGAGCAGGGATCTTGACCTTCCTCAGATTAGACCCCAGTGATCTCATCAGTGTCCACCGACCGTGCATGGTGCTGTGTCTGGTCCTCTCAAGGAGGCATCATCAACCACAACAGACACAGGGCAATGGAAGACAGAAAAAGCTGTGTGCTGAGGGGTTGGAGAACAGTAAGAACACAGTAGACAGCTCTGTGGGGGACGCTGCGTCCTGTGGAGAGGCCAGGCACACAGAGGAGTCAGGGCCTGAGCTCCACAGCTGCTCCTGTGACTGCCATGACCTCAGTGTGTGCCCAGCGCCCCCTGCTGGTGCTGAATGAGCATGACCTCAGTGTGTGCTGAGCGCCCCCTGTTGGTGCTGAGTTCCCTGCAGGGAGGTTTGTGTCTGGATTTCCTGCACTGTGTGTCTGTAGCACAGTAATATAGGGCCGTGTCCTCCACTCTCAGGCTGTTCATCTGCAGGTAAAGTGTGCTCTTGCTGTTGTCTTTGGAGATGGTGAAGCAGCCCTTCACAGAATCTGTGTACTGTGTGTTACTACTACATAAATGGATGAAATCCACTCCAGCCCCTTCCCTGGAGCCTGGCGCAGCCAGTTCATCCAATAACCACTGAAGGTTATTCCAGAGGCTGCACAGGAGAGTCTCAGGGACCCCCCAGGCTGCACCAAGCCTGCCCCAGACTCCACCAGCTGCACCTCACACTGCACCCCTGCAAACACAGAGAATCCAGGTCAGCAATGGTCACACACATCCACGGTTCCTCCCACTCAGCTCCACTCACATAACCAGTGTCCCTTCTTCTCTGCAAATTACCTTCTAAAATGGCCACAAGGAAAACCCAGGTCAGAGCCTCCTCCATGGTGGAGGTGTGTGCTCAGTGCTGATCTCAGGATGGAACCCCTGGAAGTCAGGCCTGACCTGCAGAGCTGCAGCTTTTCATGAGCAGAGGGAGGCCCCATTTGCATGTCCTCTTGGTATATAGGCAGCTCTGGGATGGAATCTGAGCAAAGGCAGTGCAGAGAAGACAGGAGAATCAGGCAGTCAGCAGTGACAATGATTACATGGAAGAGAACACAGACCTCATCGCACAGCAGAGCGAATGCGTTAGAAAACCTCATCTTACTGCATTTTACACAGCACAGACAGTCATTGCTCACATTAGGTGTCATGATGTGTGCATGTGTCACATTGTTGGTGGTATGAATTTGTAATTGAAGAGTCTCTTGATTGCTAGAGGTGCACTGCCCTTGAGCTGTGTGTCCAGCCGTCTTTGCTGTATTTGCTTTAGTGATTTGGGATATGGTCATGCATTTTTCCTGGTGGTATGGGCGGTGTTCTCCTATCTGTGCTTTCTGTGCAGCTGAATGGATTGCTGTGCATGACCGTGTTTATCTCTGGGCTGACACTGTGTCTCTGGGACTGGCTCCAGTCATTCCTGCCAGTCTCCCCTACCGAGGAGGGGCAACCAACCCATCTGACCATTTTGTCACTTTTAAACTATGGAAATGCACTTATTTTATTTGCTGCAAACTTGTTCAGCTTTACCACATAGAGGACTTGTTTATAACATTTCATAAGCACCACAGCACAGGGAAATCTGCTTCACCAGCAGCAGAGTCAGGAAATGGGGCATTCTTCTGGAAGCAAGTCCTTGGCTTCCGCTCTACCCCTCCTGCCACCAGCAGTGGTTGTGGGTTAAGAAAGGCTGTGTGCTTCCTACTGCAAATATGCAAATATATACTGTACTGTGTACAGGTGTGCACATACAGTGTGGACGTGTACACACGAAGTCTCAGTCATTTATATGTTGTAGTGGGTATTGGTATGCATAAACAGTGTGGACATGGACACATATGGTCTCTCTCTCTCTCTCTCTTACACACACACACACACACAGTACTGGGCACACCTGGGCAAGGAGCCCCGTGGGTGGGGTCTGTGGGTCTGCAGCTCTCCCAGGCTGGATTTTCACTGAGCTTTGTCTCCTGCAGTACTGAGCACAGGTCACAAGGGCATGCAGGGCAGTGTGGAGGGGTCTGTCCAGGGCGTCCTGAGCTGCACGGTGCCCGCACCATTCATGCCCCGCTTTGCCCTCATCCTGAGCCCTGCGTCTGTGATGGAGTGGCTGCTCCAAGGCTCCTTTCAGGTCTCAGCTCAGGGAGCTGCACTTGGCTTCCTCTTTCCATCACAGTCTCTTATCAGAGCTCCTGGACCACTCCAGCGTTCATGCCAAAGCTCATCTCTCTGCTCTGTCAGGTTTTCTGTTTACTTCTTTTTTCAAGCTAGTCCTGGGCCTTGAACCTGGGCCTGGACTCTTTCCCTGAGCTCCGTTTGCTCAAAGCTGGCACTCTTCCACCAGAGCTAGCACAACTTCTTTCTTTGTCTGTGATTAGTGGGAGATAAACATGTCACAGTATTTCTGGCATAGTGCGATTTTGAACTGTGATCCTCAGATCTGATCATCCTGAAAGCTAAGATGACAGGTGTGAGCCACCAGTGTTGGGCCATTTTTTCTTTCAAATTAGCTTCATTGTACCAAATAATGAGTTTCCTTATGACATTTTCACACGAGTGTGTAATGCACTTTGATTGCACACTCTCCTGCCCCTGACCAATCTTGCTGGCTTCTGCATGCTATTGCCATTCCAATTTTATATTCATGCTGTTGATCTTCTCCAGATCTTTATTCCACCTAAGAGACAAAAATACAGTATTACTCCTTTGGAGTCTGGCTTATTCTCATCAACAAAGTGTTCTCGATTTCTTCAATTTTTCTTCCAGTGATGTAAGTTCTTTCCTCTTTATAGCTGAATATTTCCATTCTATATACATCATTCCTCTTTATAGCTGAGTAATTCCATTCTGTATACGTAACACAATTTCTAGGTTCATGCATTGAGGAATCCATTGAAGGGACCCAGTCTGATCCCCAAACCTTTCCTATGTGGACAGTTCAAGACAAACACAACTGTGCAGTCACTATATCATAGACTGCCCGAGACCCATTGCGTGTGTGCAGGTGTGAGGAGAAGGATCATGGTGGCTTGGCTTTTAGTCTGTGGAGGGTTTTCCATTCTGAGTCCCATAGTGCACTCGCTCACATTCTGAGGGCACCATGGAAGGTTTCTTTTCCTGCATCTTTGTCAGTTCCCGTATCTTTTCTTGATGATCGTCAGGGTACAGTGTAGGGAGCCAAAGGGAGTCTCTAAGCATGCTAGGCTTGATGATCTCACTGGAACATCTTGAGGCTGTTTACAGAATCCAATCCTTTCATCCTGCCCCAAGCAAACACCCTGTAGCTGCTAACGACCACTTTTTCACACTGTTCTAAGCAAACATTCTGCAGCTGCTACGGCCAATGAAAAAGCTTCCTTATTCTAAGCATATAAATACCCCTTTGTGAAAAATAAAAATTTGCAGCGTGATCAGAATCCTTGTCTTGCTGTCATTCTTCGTGTCTCTTGTCCCTTCATTCCTTCTTGCTTAGGTTCACCGCCCTCGTTGAAGTCCTGCGGGTCGGGACAACTGGCGCCAATGTGGGGCATGAGCCTCTGACTAAGGAAGGAACGCCGTCCTCCGGGAAAACTTGGCCAAGTACAGTCCGAGATCGCCTCGACAGACCCTGCGGAGAGACAGATCCAGGAGGAGAGTGAGGACAATGCACGGTGAGTCACCCACCATGGGACAAGCAATATCGTCACATGAGCTATTTCTGTCAGACCTCAAGGAGGCCCTCAAGACATGGGGAACACGGGTTAAGAAAAGGGATTTACAGGGGCTGGGAAGGTGGCTCAGTGGTAGAGTGCTTGCCTTGCATGCATGAGGCCCTGGGTTCGATCCCTCAGCACCACATAAGCAGGAAAAAAAAGCCAGAAGTGGTGCTATGGCTCAAGTGGTAGAGCACTAGCCTTGAGCTGAAGAGCTGCGGGACAGCGCCCAGGCCCAGAGTTCAGGCCCCACGACAGGACCACCCCCCCCCCAAAAAAAAGAAAAGGGATTTACAATTATTTTTCTCATTCATAGAGAACTTGTGTCCTGTTCCCCTTTGAAGGAACCATAGATGCAAAAAGATGGCAAGGAGTAGGAGATTAACAGATTATTATGAAACTTTGGTTTGGAAAAGGTTCCTGCTACCACCTTTTCCTATTGGAATTTGATTAATGACATTTTAAAATGTTCTCTATTTGATAGTGAAATTTTAAAACTTGTAAAAATGGGAGAGGAGGTTCTCCAACATGCCTCTTGGCCCGCCGCGGCTTGCCCATCGGTTGTATTAGATATGCCTTCTGGTCCATTTACTGAAAATCCCTTCCTTTTGTGGCCTGGCCCTTCAAGGGCCCACTGCCCCTCCAGATCCAGATGTTTTTTCTCTCCCCCCTTTACCTAACCTGGCCCCTTTACGCGAGTCCCTTCAACATAGGCGAGAACACCTTCAACCTTTAAAAGAACTGCGGTCCCTTGATTATGAACTCTGCACACTGGCCTTGGCCCATATGCCAAAACCGCCTAATAAAATTAAGGTTAGATCATGCCATCAATCAGTTCTCACCTTTCCAGTAACTCAGAGCCAGACAGATAGGACCTCAGAGGGTGAGGAGGACAACTCAGAAGAAGAGGAAAAGGAGGATGAGGAACAGGATACTGGGGATGAAGAGGAACAACCCACGCAGAAAAAGGCCAACAAGAGTATAAGAGGCTTAGCCTTCAGTTTGCTGAAAAGCTTAAAAATGCATGTGTCCAATAAGGCCTGACTGCACCTTATACGTTAGCCTTGTTATAAAACCAAAGTGCGCGCTGGCTCACCCCTAATGATTGGAAGTTCCTGGCCTGCGCCACCCTTAGTGGGGGTGATTTTCTTTTATGGGATGCAGACTTTAAGGAACAATGTAGAGAGACCGTGCAAAAAAAAATTGACTAAAACATCTTCAAAAACCTGGACCTATACTAAACTTTTGGGTAATGTGCCCTTTGATACCAATGTTAAACAGGCGCGCTTTCCTACCGAACTTTTGGCACAAATTCAAAATGCTGGCCTTTATGCTTGGAAGCATCTCCCTCAAAAGGGATCGGCTACTACTTCCCTGGCAAAAGTTAGACAGGGGCCAGAGGAACCCTACAGTGACTTTGTCTCACTGCTTAACTTGGCTGCAGAAAAGCTTCTTGGGCTGAGTGAAAGTGAAGGTGCCTTTATTACATCTTGCCTTTGAAAATGCTAATCCGGCATGTCAAGATGTCCTCTGGCCACATAAAAACAAGGGTGACCTCTCTGAGTTTGTCAGGCTTTGTGCTGGATTAGGGACCACTCACGCCATGGGGCTCGCCATAGGCGCTGATTTTACTAAGGCATTTCAAAGTTCAGTCCCTGGCTAGGTACTTGCTTTAATTGTAAGCAACCTGGTCACTTAGCATGTGAATGTCCCTTGGCAAACAAAGCCAAGGGGCAATGCCCTCCCAAGCTACAGGTAGACCACTCCCTGCCACTCTTTGTCTTTTAGATCAAGAAAAAGTGGCCCCAAGGTGGCTGCCAGAATGCTTGATAAAACAGGTGAATGGCTTATCATAACCCAGGGGAAACCTTCCCCCCAAGGATGATGCCTTTTCTCTTACAGATGCAGCTAGAACTCCAGACGTGGACACTCTTGTTTGAATTTATTAAATAACGGATTAATCTCTTGGCTTCTAAGCCCACACAGGTTCATCACCATAGCC